TGGTCAAAAATAAATTGTATTTCCATGCATGTTTATTTTTTACTTTTTTTTCTTGAGACAGAGTGTCACTCTGTCACCCAGGCTGGGGTCCTCAGCTCCCAGGCTCAGGTGATCCTCGCACTTCAGCGTCCCAAGTAGCTGGGACTACAGATGTGAGTCACCATAGCCAGCGTTTTTTCTTCTTGTAGAGATGGGGTCTTGCTATGTTGCTCAGGCTGGTCTCAAACTCTCAGGCTCAAGTGATCTACCCACCTCGGCCTCCTAAAGTGCTGGGATTATAGGTATGAGCTGCCGCTCCTGGGCTCAGGGAGAGTCTCAAATATTCAAGGTTGGAAATCAGCTCCTGCCTTGAAGGCCCGCAAGCCACCCCCTTGGAACCCAGTCGTGCACCTCTGGAAGCCCCCGGTGACTTGCCGCTCTTGTCCACATGCTGCTAAAGTGCTGAGGTCCCAAAGCTCTGCAGCTGCTGCTCCTCTCTGGAGCAGCGGGGCCCAGCCAGCAGCTGAGACCCCGGACCTCTGCCAGCTACTTGTGCCGACGTCACTCAGCAGGTAGGAGTCAGAGCAGGTGCTGGCATCCAGGGTTCCAGGCCAGGGGGCCCCTGCCTCTCCCTGTGCGGTGTTGAAGCCACAGTCCACCTGCCAACAGGCGTGACACTGAGGCCCCTACACAGAGAAACACAACCTCCACCAAGCCCCCTCAGGTCTGCTCTGCACCAATGGACCAGGAGAGGGAAAGAACGAGGCTGATTTCTCCAGGTCCCAGGCAGAGCCACCCACCTCACAGCGTCTTCTGGTGGGGAGGTGCAGGGGGTCCCGTAGTCTTGCCTTCTGGTCTCTGCAATGTGGTATTTAAATGGGTCTTGAGCTAAGCTCCCCAGTTAGATTCTCAAAGCCTGTATTCACTAATTTAATATCTGAGTTCCATGACCACCTCCCACTGGAGTGGCCATATGAGAGGACACCTGCACCGTGACTCTGGTGCACGGAGGCCACATGTGTCTGAGGCGGGAGTGCCTGGCGCCCGGCCTCGGCTGCTCCAGAAGCTGACAGATGAAGGACGTGGACATCACCCAGACAGCAGGAGCCCACTACTGCTCCACCCCGACGGGACACACAGGCAGTGTCAGGACGGGCTCGCCTCTCCCGGCAGGGCAGCCGTTGGCCTTGGACAATCTCTGCAAAGCCCAGCTTGCAGACTCACGGCTGTGCTGCTCCCCTCACTTCCAAAAAGGACGGCTTGACATCATCAACTTCTGGGCCTTTAATTCACCCCTCAATTTACGCCACTTTCAAATTTCTCTGAAGGCTCCTTCTACCCCACAGTGGTTGAATGTTGAACCCTCGAAGGATACGTTTAACTGGAACCTGTGAAAGTGACTCTATTTCGAAAAAGGATCTTTGGACTGGGCGCAGTGGCTCACACCTGTAGTCCCAGCACTGTGGAAGGCTGAGGCCGGCAGATCACCTGAGGTCTGGAGTTCAAGACCAGCCTGGGCCAACATGGTGAAACCCCATCTCTACTAAAAACAAATACAGAAAAATTAGTTGGGCATGGTGGCACACGCCTGTAATCCCAGCTACTCAGGAGGTTGAGGCAGGAGAATTGCTTGTGCCCAGGAGGTGGAGGTTGCAGTGAGCCGAGATTGTACCACTGCACTTCAGCCTGAGCGACAGAGCAAGACTCCGTCTCAAAAGAAGAGAAAGAGAAAGAGAGAGGTGGAGGGAGGATCTTTGCAGACGTAAGACTCCAAGATGAGCTCATCGGGTAGGCCTGAATCCCACGTGAGTGTGCTTCTAAGAGCGCATACAGAGCGGAGGCCATGTGAGGACAGAGTTACAGACTGGAGGGACTTGGCCATGAGCCCCAGAAGCCAGGGGCCACCGAGAGCCGGAAGAGGCCAGGAAGGACCCTTGTATGGAGGGAGCATGGCCCTGCCCACACCCTGGTCTCAGCCTTCTGGCCCCCAGACTATGAGAGAGCGAATTTCTGCGACTGTGAGCCCCCTGGTGTGTGGTACTTTCTTTTGGCAGTCCGGGCAAACTCCTACATAACCCTAAAGCTGTGCACGGTATTTTCACCCCAGCAAACTCCCATGTAACCCTGCAGCTGCATGCCTTAGGGTTACGGAAGCAATAGGGCAAAAGGGGGTTGGAAGGCTGCCCTGAGGCCCCAGGATCTCCACGGTGCAGTGGGGCCTACAGAAACACATGAGCCGCTGAACTGATGAGCCGGGAAGGCTTTCCACACACACCAGGGCTCCAAAGAACCAAACCTCCCAGCCCTGAAAGAACCTGAGGGTTCCTACACCCAGAGCAGACATCCAAGCAGTGTGGGAGGACAGAGAGCAGCAGCTCATTTCCTCCACTCCTTCCTCTTCTCCCGCTGCCAAGAATCCAAGCCCCAAGGTGCATCCCAAGGCCTGTCCTTGGGCGGCCCCCCAGCTCCTCTCCTCCATGCACCCCCAGACCGCGAGCCTGCTCTTGCCCTCTACGTTCGATCTGCAAACCCAAATCATGCTGCCTGACCCTGCACCTCCCGCCAGCACTGGTCATGTCAACATGCACCCCTCCTTCAGTTCCCCGCCACTAAAATGTGCCTTGGGCATATACCCAGAAACAAAAGCCAAACACATGCTCAAGGTTTTGCTCTGCACAGGGAGGGCGGCTGCCTCCTGGCTGCAGGGTGACACTGAGAGGACCTGGCAGAAAGTGTCTGGGGAGAACAGCTCTGAGGCCCAGACATGCAGATGGTCCAGTCAGGACGAATCTGTGCCATGCTCCCAGGGGATCAGCAGGAGCTCCCTGGCAATAGGTGTACCCAAGCCTGGCATGCAGGGCACAATGGGCCCTGGTGCTATCTTGCAAACGAGTATTGCACCTAGTTTGCAGGTGACACCAGGCACAGAAACCAGGGCCAGGTCCCTCAGCTGCAATTCCAAGATGAGGAGACATCTGCTTTGAGGTGGGACCCCCCAGACACCTGGGTCAGTCCCCATCAGGAGCCTCTTCAGCTGCCCTGCGACGTGCCACACCCCTCAGGCATTCTCCAGTCTCATTCCAAGTAGCATTAAGGCAAATCTTTGGCACTCAGCCAGAGGCTCTGTTCTGCCAGTTTCTAAGTTTTCTTTCCCCACATTCAGCCTTGGAAACAAGGCTTTGGAGTCCTAAGCCACATGGTGATCAAAATCAAGAACAAACTCTTGCAAGAGCAGTTCTAGACTTTAGAGGATGCTTCCCCTTGGAACTTCGGCTGGAAGCAGCAAACACCAGCCCCAAGGCCACTTCCAGGCTCTGTCCACCAGACCCTCCTGTGCCCACTAAGGCTGGTCCAGGCTGGCTTGGTCGCAGCCATCTCAGCCCCTCCCCATTGCATTGCTTCTCCTTGTCCAGCTGTGCTGGGACGTCGGGATATGGGAGCCCACAGGTCTGGGCACTGGGGAGACCCCAGGTGAGAATGGCAGCCCATCCTTACAAGGCTCTGCCTGAGGTAAGCAACCAGAGAACACCCCTCCCTTGAGTCACTGGGAGTTCGAGAACAAGGGACATTACTGGGGGATCCCAGGTGAAGCAAAGAAGAAAACAGTTTGCCCAGTGAAATAGGAGGTGGATGGGGGGAGGAACCGGAGAGACACCCCACGAGCTACACTCCTGCCAAGGCAGGGGACACTATCCCCGGAGCCCCCGGCTCCACCCTCCCTGGCTGCCCCTGCTTCAGGGACCCTGCACCTTTCTTCCCGAGCACCAGCCTGCCTCCGACTCTGCCCAAGCAATCCACCAGGCCGCGGTGACCTCCCCCACCCTCCTCAAGCTAAGAGGGGTCCAGAGCGGTGCTTAACAGGTGCACTCAGCTGGCTGGAATGAGAGGCTCGGGGGAGGCCACCTGGGAAGCACCGCCCTCTTCCCAACAGGCCTTCCGCTTCACTTCAGACTCGAACCCCTGCCTTTCTGTGCTCAGCTCTGCTCGGTCCTCCTGGGGGCACGCCTAGGTCAGCCCTCAAATTCCACAGAGGCACTGCTCTCCCCCTTCCTGACTTCCTCCGAGGCCAGCGCGCACCGCAGGCCCGACCATGACCAGGTGGCCCTTCGTTATGCCCGTGGGGTCCAGCACAGGGACCAGTCATACCTGCTCCTTTCCCGAGGACCAGGCCACAGGTGGGCAGCACAGGAGAGCCACCACCCGGCAGGCCCCCGCCCCCCCACCCCCTCACCCTCCTGCTGACTCGACAAGGCCAGGAAGTGCCGTCACCTTGGTTCTAAGTCGGTCCCTCCGCATGCAGGCCCTTCCTACCCCTCGAAGGTACACTTAGCTGCAACCAGGAAGTCGCCGGCTACTGCGTTTTAAAAGGGGGCGCCGTAAAGCCGATGAACACAGTCCCGAACTGCTCCCTCAGAGCAAACACCTGCAGGGATGCGAGGGTGCAGGGCAGCCCCGCCCTCTGCCCTTCGGCCGCCTCCTGGCGTGCTCAGGCCAGAGCGGAGTCCACCCTCGTGGGCTCCGTGACCTCACTCGGCCTCTTCCTCCTTCCTCTCGACCTCCTGACCCACAGGGGCCCAGCAGGTGTGACCGCGAACCCCTCCAGCTCCACAGCCGCCTACGCGCTCCACGGGGAAAGGTCCCGCTCCCGTGACCGCCCCGGGACTCCCGGGCTCTGCCGCCTTCCCTCGCCTCCGGGAGCCGTCCCCCCACCCCGCTCCGCGGGACCGGGCAGGGACGCGCTGCTGCGCCACAGGCGGGGCGCGGGGCTCCCTCCTCGCGGCGCCCCCGACGCTGGACCCGTCCCACCCGCGGGGCCCGTGGCGCTCGGCCCTGCGCTCCCGCCCCGGCAAGCCCAGCAGAGCGGGCGGCTCATCCCGCGCCTGCCTCCCGGCGCCCGCGCCAGCTCTGCCCGCAGCTCCCGAGCCTCCCTCGGGGACCCGAGGCGCGTCCCGGCGGCCCCGCCAAGGTCACGGGCTCGGGGGCCACGCGTGTCGAGTTACGTAAGCGCGGGCGGCGCGTACCTGCAGCGGGAACGTGGCCGCCCGGTTGCCCACGTAGCCGCGGACGACGTGGCTCTGGATGGAGAGCACCCGGCAGTCCTCCTCCATGCCGGGCCTGGCCGCGGCGCGCGGGGCGAGGAGGGAGGGGCACGGGCTCGGCCGCTCGCTCGGGCTCCGCTCGGCTCGGGCCCCGGCCCCGGCTGTCCTCGGCTCCGGCTCAGGCTCCGGCGCGCGGCTGCCCCGCTCGGCGCAGACGCTCTGCTCGGACGCCCTGGCCGCCTCCTTCTGACCTCAGCTGGCGGCTCCGAACCCGCGAGTTCGCGCGGCGCCGGGGGCGGGTCGGGGGCGGACCGGGGCGGGGACAGGCGCGCAGGCCCCGCCCCGGGCAGGGAGGAAGTGAAACCGGACCCCCGCCGCGCCGCTGTCCGGAACGCGGGGTTTGCACTCATTCCGCTTGGAGAGGGCTCTGTAGCGTCGTCCGTTCGTTCATTCATTCAACACGCGTGCTCCGCCCCATCCCCGCGCCCCGCCGCGTGCAGGGGAGACTGGGGGGCCCGGGCGCCATGCCCCTGACACTCTCACAACGCGGAGAGCCACCGGGGAGCGGGCCGGCGCGGGGCCACGGGAGTGCGGGCGGCCGTGGGAACAGCGCCGAGGAGCAGGAGTGACCCCGGATCCCCGAGGGAACCGCGCACTCGCCCTCCTACAGTGCCCAGAGCCCAAGTCCAATCCACGTTCCCTCTCCAGGGCCGCAGGAACTGATGGACACGCGGCTGACGGGACCCAGTCTCCCCCGCACCAGCCTGGGGCCGCAGGCTTCTCCGGGGCACACTAGACCCTTGCGGACCCCAAGTCCTCGCTCTGGTGACGCTGCCTGCAGAGGGCCCCAGTCCCCCGGGCCACGTGCCCAGCCCTCCATCCACAGGTGCCCCGGCCTGTGGAGGGCCTGCCTTCGAGGACAAGCCTGACCCCTTAGAGGACCCCACCGCCTTCACCTCCTACCCCAATGCTCCCCACAGCTGATGCACTCCCTGCAGCTTTCCTGCGCCACCCGGGGGAACAGAGGCCTTTGGGTTCCAGACTTGCAGACTTGGTGATCTGGGGCCCTGGGGTCAGTACCACCAGGCTAAAGTCTTGGTGACCTGGCAGCACACCTACGGCTCTGTAGCGTGGTGAGACCCGATGCCCGACCAGGCGGGTGCTGAGGACTGAGGGAGGAGGACGTTGCTTAGAGGTCCAGGTTTTAAAAAGAAAGTACATCTAATTAGTAACAGTTGTCCATTAATGATAGCTAACATTTAAGCAATGCACGGTGGCTCACCCCTGCAGTCCCAGCTACTGAGGAGGCTGAGGAGCGAAAATTGCTTGAGCCCAGGAGGTAGAGGCCATCTCTGAAAAATAATAGGCTGGACTTGGTAGCTCATGCCTGTAATCCCAGCACTTTGGGAGGCCGAGGCAGGTGGATCGCTTGAACC